GCTTTAGTTTGCTTGGCTCCACAGTCAACACTCTTGGCACCAGTGCCAGGAAATTAAAAGACGTATTGTGATGGGAAAGTCCGCTGTTAGGGACGTCTCCAGGGTACTGAAGAACAATGGTGTCTCTCTGGAGACTAAGGTATGTCTGATACAGGCCATGGTCTTTGCTATCACTTGTTATGCATCAGAGAGTTGGACAATGACTAGAGAGGATAGAAGGATAATTGATGCCTTTGAGCTGTGGTGCTGGAGAAGAGCATTGAGTATACCATGGACTGCTAGGAAAACAAACAGATTCATCCTTGAGAGGATTAAACAGGACGGCTCCTTGAAGGCAAGGATTCTGAGGCTTCGTCTAACATACTTTGGACTGGTTGTAAGGAGGAACGGGTCCTTGGAGATGGACATCATGTTTGATAGGATGGAGGGACAGCGCAGGAGGGGAAGGCCCTCTATGAGGCAGATTGATTCAGTGACTGGGGTAATCGGGATGGGTGTATTGGAGACAGTGCAACTGGCACAGGACAGAGCAGAGTTTAGGGCTGTTGTACATAGGGTCGCTATGAGTCTCAAGCGACTCGACAGCACATAACAACAACAACAACAATACCTAGGGATTTTGAACATTTCTTTATGTTTGCCATCTGAGTATCTTCTTTGCTGAAGTGTCTATTCATATCCTATGACCATTTTTTTTAATTGGGTTTTTTTACCTTTTTCTTGTTGGAGTGCTCGAGTATCCTATAAATTTTAGGTATGAGTCCAGATCTAGATATATCATTACCAAATATTTTTTTCTCCTAGTCTGTGGCTTTCCTTTTTACCCTGTTGGAGAAGTTTTCTTGATGTGCCTAGGGATTTGATTCTTAGAAGGTCCCATTCATCTATTTTGCTCTCTGCTGGTGATAGGATTTTCATTATCTTTGGAAGACTGTTCATATGTGGATTAGGACTTCTAGAGTTCTTCCAAGATTTTCTCTGATGAAGTTTATAGTCTTTAGTTTAACTTCTAGGTTCTTGATCCAACATCAGTTCATTTTTTGTGTATGGCATGAAGTATACGTCTTGTTTTGAGTTTTCTACAGATGGTTTTCCAATTTTGCTAACATTATTTGTCTAAAATGGTATCATTTCACTGCTTGACTGATTTTGTCTCCTTATTAGAAATCAGTTGAGTATATGTAGATGAGATGATTTCTGTATTCTCAAGTCTATTCCATTGATCTGTGTGTCTGTCACTGTACCAGTACCATGCTGTCTTAACCACCATGGCTGTGTAGTACGATGTGAAATCAGGGATTATGATGCATCTTATCTTGTTTCCCTTTTTCAGGAGTACTTTGCTTATTCAGGGTCTCTTTGCCTTCCAGATAAAATTGGAAATTGCCTTTTCTATCTTATTGAAGAATGAAATTGGTATCTGTATTGGAATTGCACTGAATTTGTATATTGCCTTTGGTAGAATTGTCATTTTCATGATATTGAGTCTTTGTATCCGTAAGCATGGTATATTCTTTCATTCACCTATGAAATACTATCTCACCCCCATAATAATAGCAAAGTTCAACAGAACAGCAAACAAAAAAAACTAATGAGGCTGTAGAGAGATTATTCACTGCTGGTAGGAGTGTAAAATGGTTTAACCACTTTGGAAGGCTGTTTGGCACTTTCTCAAAAAGTTGGAAACAGAAATATCATTTGACCCAGCAACTGCACTGCTGAGAATATACCTTAAAGAAACCAGAACTGCCATCCAAACAGTTGTACACACAACCATATTTATTGTTGCATTATTCACAATAGCAAAGAAAGGAAAACAACCCAAATTCCCATCAACAAATGAATGGATAAAAAAAGTATGGTATATTCACACAAAGGAATACTATGCCGCACTGAAAAAATAAAAACACATAAAACACTATACAACATGGGTGAACCTAAAGGACATTATATTAAGTGAAATGTTTCAGTCTCAAAAGGACAAATACTGCCTTACACTACTATTATGAAGCAGTACTGACATGGGAGGTTGGCAAGAGAATTAGAAAACAGGAGACAGACAATGAACACTGTATTGGAACAGATGGGGAGAGAACTGTTTAAAAGAAATACATGATTAAGCACTATATGTAAGACAATGGTCCAGAATAAGAGGTACATTGAAAAGAAGACTGGGAGATGGGAAGGTGTAAATTGTGAACAATGAATGTATGAAAACCCTACTTTTCTGTAAACTTTTGTAAAAATAATAAAATAAAAAAATTTTAAACAATTCTTGATCTTAAACTTTGACTAAAATAAAATTTAAAAGAAAACAACCCAAAACTCCAAACGCCAAAAAAACCTCACCTACTCTCTAAGTAGGGCTATATGTGTTTCTAAAAATCCATTTTTAGGATGAAATGGAAACCACTTTCCAAATTTTTCTGTTATTTTAATTTCTTTTTATCAGCTTAAATCTACTATCTCCGTCCATATTTATCCTGGACATGGAAAAAGTTGATTTGTTGTTTGCTTGTTTCTGGCATACAGATATATGGTCCCTAAACACTATATGACCCCTAGTGTGACCTTATAATTGCTTTCCTTGATCTTTGCAGCAAACTTTGCATATTCTCCCCACTTTCAGCAAGCAAGATTGTATCATCTGCATAACAAAGGCTGCTGATTAGTTGTCCTATTCAGATGCTGTATTCCTCTTCATGCAGTCCAACTTCATAAATTCATACAGATTGAAATGGTAGAGAGAAAGCATACAATTCCTGACACACACTCTTCCGGATTTTAAGCCATATAGTGTTCCCTTGTTCCATTCAGACAATAGCTTCTTAGTATAGACAGAGATTTCCTACAATCAAGTGTTCTAGGACTCTCAGTCTTCTCAATGCTAGTCATAGTTTGTTTGATTTACACAGTAAAATAAATGCCTTTGCATAGTCAATAAAATGCAAGTAGATATTCTTCTGATATTCTCTACTTTAAGCCAAGATCCATCTGACACCAACAATGATATCCCTGTTGTCACAGCCTCTTCTAAACCCAGCTTGAACTTCTGGCAGTTCTCTTGAACAATCTGGCAGTATTATTCCAGCCATTTATGGAAAATCTTTGATAATATTTTGTTTGGGTATGATATTAATAATATTGTGAGATAATTTCTATATTTTATTGGATCTCCCTTCTTAGGAATGCAAACAAATATAAATCTCTTCCAGCCAATTAGCTAGGCAGCTGTCCTCCAAATTTCCTGGCATAAATTGGTGAGCACATCTGTGGTTGCACCTGTTAGCTGAAACATGTAAACTGCTATCCCATTAATTCCTGGGACCTTATTTTTTGCCAATGTCCTCAACGCAGCTTGAACTTCTTCCTTTACTACCATTGACTCTTGTTCAGATGGTACTTCATGAAATGTTTTAGTATTAACCAATTCTTTTTAGTGTAGTGACTCTGTGTCTTCCTTCCATCTTCTACTGATGTTTCCTAAATTATTCAAGATTTTTCCCATAGTGTGTTTCAATATTACAAGTCAAAGCTTGCATTTGTTTTTCAGTTCTTTCAGCTTCAGAAATGCTAAGCGAGTTCTTCCCTTTTCATCTCTGACTCTAGCTCTTTGCACATTTTGAGAATGCCTTTTATTCTCAAAATAATTGCTGTGGTCAGGACCATAGCCTTCAACAAAAAGGTCCTTAGCACTGGGTCAATAGGCAACATTATGATAAAGGATTGAAATTGTCAGTGATCTCATCTTACAAGGATCAACAATCAATACTTTGGTACCAGCAGTCAGGAGATCAGGAGACATATTGCTGTGGGCAAATATATAGTCAAGGACCTCTCCAAAATCCTGAAGAGCAATGCTATCACCTTGAAGACTAAAGTGCACCTAGTTCAGGCCGTGGTCTTTTCCATCAGTTGCTATACATCTGAGAGATAGACAGTGAACAAGGATGACAAAAGAAGAATTGATGCCTTTGAGTTGTGGTGCTAGAGAAGAGCCATAACTATCCCATAACTATCAAAAGAACATATAGTTACATCTTGGCAAAGGTGAACTCAGAGTGTCCCTTAGAGGCAAGGACAGCAAAACTTCATCTTACATACATTGGGCATGTTGCTAGGAGAGGCTATTCCTTAGAAAGCACAGCCGATTTCCCCAATGCAATCCATCTTTTAATTTCCTGATGTCTAATGCAAAGGGTATTGCTTGTGAAACCAAACAAGGTGAAATCATTAACAACCTAATCTCTTCTCCATCTCTCATAGTGCTTCCAAATGTCCCAGTGGTGAAAATCTTTCTCTTCTTGATTTTGAGCTTCAATCTATTTTGAAGACTATAGTCCTTGACCTTCTGCAGCAAACATCTCTGGTTCTCCTCAGTGTCAGCAAACAACAGGTATTGTGCTATTGTTAGGTGCCTTCAAGTTGGCTCCAACTCAAAGTCACTCCTTGTACAACAGACGAAACTTTGCAGAGATCCTTTGCTGACCTCACACTCTCTGCTGTGCTTAAGGCCATTGTGTTAGTCATTGTGTCAGCCCATCTCATACAGGCTCCTCCTCTCTTTTTGAAGACCCTTTCTTTACTTTTTCAAGCATGATGTCTTTCTCCAGGGCCTGACTCCTCCTGAGAACATGCCCAAAGTATGTGAGAAGAAGAGTCAACATCTTTGCTTCTAAGAAAGTAGCTGTATTTCTTCAAAGACAGATTCGTTCTTTTTTTTTTCTTGTAAGTTTCATTTTATTAAATGTGACTGAAACAGACACCGTGGTGATTAAAGAATTTAGCCAAGATGGCTTAGACTTCTGGCCCACCAAGATCTCCAACACAACAGCTGGGTACCAAAGGACTATCTTGAAGGAATGGTACAAATGAAAGAACTTAAGTGGGTATTTTGGTACAACTTATAGAAAAGGTAAAATAAACAAGACATGCAGGTGGCCTGGTAGTGACCACAGAGTCACCCCTGTGGCTGTGGGGAAGCCGGGCTAAAGCTTCGCTCAGCTCTCGCCATCACTGTCTCCCAGGGTGTGTTTGTCCAAGAGGTACTCGGCCAGGCCCGAATCCGGGGCGCCCGTCTTGCGCAAGTTGGTTACGTAGTCACCCAGTTGTTTGATGGATTTCACCTGCTCATCCAGGTAATGTGTCTCAATGAAGTCACACAAATGAGGGCCGTTCTTGTCAGTGGCCAATTTGTGCAGTTCCAGTAGGGACTGATTCACACTTTTCTCCAAGTGCAGCGCACACTCCATGGCGTTCAGCCCGCTCTCCCAGTCATCCCGGTCTGGTTTCTTGATGTCCTGAAGGAAAATGCGGCCGCCTCGCTGGTTCTGCAGTTTCATCAGTTTCTCAGTGTGTTTCCTCTCCTCATGGGATTGGTGGAGAAAATATTTGGCAAAATTCTTCAAACCCACATCATCACGGTCGAAGTAGTAAGACATGGACAGGAAGACGTAGGAGGCGTAGAGCTCCAGGTTGATCTGGCGGTGGATGGCGGCCTCCGAGTCCTGATTGTAGTTCTGGCGCACCTGCGAAGGGGACGCGGTCACGGCGGCGGCGGTGCTGGAGCGGAGGCGAGGACCTTGGGGCGTCCGGGGGTGCTGATGTGAGGAGGTGGCGGAGGACTGGCTGGAGATGACCGGCGAGGAGAGACGCGGTCAAGCGCCGGTTCCGTTCAAGCACTGTTGAAGCAGGAGACCATGGCGACTCTGCGAAAAGATTTGTTCTTTTGAGAAAGAGTTGTCTCTTCAAAATAGAATCTCCGATAAGTAATGGCATGGATGGAGTAAAGCTTTCAACCAGTGAAGGACCTTCTTTTACTGATGTGGCATGACTCAAAATGAGGAAAAACAACTACAAGCATATCCATAGCTTAAAAACGGAAATATGGAACTTATGAATCTAAGAAGAATAAAACAAAAACACACAGATATGGGGGTTAGGATTTACAACAAAAATTTTCAGAGGACATAATTCAATCCAAAACTCTTTTTATAGTGTTCCAATAGTTTTTGGAAGAAGAATTGACATCTTTGAGCTGTGGTGTTGGAGAAGTGTATTTAATATCCGTGGATTGCCAAAAGAACAAACAAATATGTCTTGGAGAAAGTGCTCCTAGAGTACTCCTTGGAGTCAAAGATAATAAATCTTTGCCCCAAATACTTTGGTCATGTTGCTTAGGAGAGGCTATTCCCCAGAGAGGGACTACATGTTTGGAAAAGTGGAGGGTCAGTAATGGAGAGGGTGCCCCACAATCAGATGGACTGACACAGTGACTGCAGCAATGGGCTCAAATGTGTCAAAGTATGAGGATGGCACAGGATAGGACACGGTTCAGACCTGTTGTCCATAGGGGTTTGCTATGGGTCATACTCAATTTGATGGCACCTAACAACAATGACAAAACCTGTTTTTAGATCAGTATTCTAAATAATGATCAGTAATCTGGTGAGATAGTCTATAGAAAGATTCACTGCTAACTCACTCCAATACCAAGGCTCTCTGGAGGTTAGAATCCACCAGGTGTTCTGTGGGAGAAAGTTGGGTGATCTCATACCATGCAATGTACAGCTCCAGAAAGAAAGTGGAGAGTCAGCTATGAGTCAGTATCAGTTTGGCAATGAGTAAGAAAGAAAGAATGTACAACATAGCCATTCAGTAATGGTGGTAGCACAGTTTCTGGTACAGAATTATAGAACTTTAATGCTCCTGGTCAAAGATTCCTGTTCAGATGACTGAAAGGCTTTCACTGACATTCTTCTAGTCAATTAAGTCAGCAAGCTATGGTATCATTATTGTACTAGATGGTATTGAGTAGGCTCTGCCTAGTTTCCCTCCCCTCTCCTCTCCTCTCCTTCTCTT